CTTTCTAATCTGTCCACCACCAATTCCGAATTTCAACGTTTCTAATTTTTTTTTATTCTAGAAATTCGGCAGCTCCTTCTTAATTCTTCCATTTCTACTGCACATAATTTCTGTTTCTGGCGTTCCGTCAAGACCCAACTCTCTCCACCATAGGTTAGAATACTTTCAATAATAGTTCGTACAATAACTTTTTTGTTCTTACATGAATTTCCCGCGTCCATAGTACTCCATTCAGCATTCTTATAGCTCCTCTTGCCTGTTTAATGCGGTCATCAATATCCTTTTCACAATTTCCATACGTATGCAGTATTGTACCCAAATATTTGAACTGTTTAACTAACTTAATCCTACCTACTCCTTGTACTTTCAAATCAGTACCTTCTCCTCCTACTATCAGATACTCTGTTTTTTTTCGGATTTAATTTAAGCCCACTCATTACATATACCTCTACTGTTTTCCGGGTCATATATTCTGCATCATCTCTATCTTGAGCCATTATTACCAGATCATCCGCTAATAGTGAATGTATTGCTTGTCCATTTACAGCAATGCCCATTCCTCGACATGACGCATTCCAAACTTTAAGGACCTCTTCTAAATAAATTTTAAAAAGAGTAGGGGACATTCCACAGTTTTAAATTCCTCAGAAATTCTATTTCCCATTTTTACCATGGCTCGGGTATCCACATACATTTTCTTTACGAGTTGAAAGAGCAATTCTTCAATTTCAAAATTTCATAAATTTCACAATTCATGTATAGGCACTGAGTCATATGCTTTCTCCAGGTCAATAAAAACCAGATGAAGCTCTTCCCTTCTGACTCATTTTCTCACACATTTGTCGTAATATAAAAATGTTATCTATACAGGACTTCCCTTCTGTAAACCAGTTTGTTGTTCTGAGATTTTCATGGACACCTTAGCTTCCAATCGATTCTTCACTATTTAACTCAAGGGTCTTCCAATTGATGCCATTACACTCATACCCTGATAATTGTTCATATCTTCCTTACTTCCCTTCTTGTGAATAGCCAAAATATATGATAGATATGTGTAAAAGTTAAGGCTAAATGTCCCGACACTAGTACAATTTGTGGCCACCACGTGGCAGCACCAAAATAAGTAAAATTTACTTTACTGATAACGTCTGATCCAATGGTCCAATTTTCGATCTGTAAACGGCATTTGATGCCTTTTTTAAAATAGAATTTACGCTACGAAGCCCCTTTTTTTCCAAAAATCCAGCAAAATCTCGAATTTGAAATTAGTTCTCAAACTTCCGAGAAAAAAATTAAAAATGTGGGCTTATAGCGCGATGGCGACATGTTTCCTGAATCCAACGCCGTGACAATCATGCAAATCGGACGAATAGGAGCGTCGTAAAGAGAAATTTACGAAAACATCTCGCCCCCCTTCTTCGCCGTTGCGTCACCCACCCGATTGTTGTGGGCCCTCTGTCGGCGCGGGGGCACGACCAGGCCAGGCGGCGTGCGGCCAGCCCCGGCCTGGCCCCGGCGGAGAAGGCGGGATTTGCGGGATACGCAAGTCAGACAGTCGGTTTCGGCTCTCGTCTCTTTGCATCTCAGTCTATTTTTCCACAGATACCAAATTAGAGATGCTATACTACCAATACTGACTGAGGTAAACGGCCTGTAATAGTAGTACATAACTATATTTTTCACATATTTCCGTCTTCCTTCGAATTCGACCTTAAAATTGTTTGGAGAATATTCTAAAATATCGGTTCATTTGGAACTGGTTAAAAATAGACTAATTTTGTAAATATAACCATTATTCCCATCTCACATTCTTATTGTTAATATAATTTTAAACTTCTAAAGTTTTCTGGTTAAACAATTCCACTTGCTTAACGGTATCCAGGTTCAAATACCGAAAAGAAATGAGCGGGTATACCACGAGCTCTTTATCCTACAACTATTTTGTGATCTCAAACCGTAGTTACCTGCTTTAATGAGTTCAATAGCTGTGAATCGTCTAATTATATACATATAAATAAAATACATTTTTTATTACACAATAACTTACCATGCAGTTACCACCTCTCCCGAAAAATAATCGCTGATCGTTCCTTCTGTACACTTCCTAACCCGTAAGCGGAAGGCACAGACCCTCGTATATATCGCAGACCGCAGATCCGATGATAGGATTTCGATGATATGCTAGATTCGATGATTATTATAATACATATAAGCAATAACTATAGTATAATACTATTTTTTACTCTAATGCATGCCTATTATTTTATTATTATATTATTATTATTATTATTATATTATTATTAGTATATAATTATTATATATTTATTTATTATTATTCATTATGTACAACGGAGTCCTATAGTGATTCATTTTACTTCAAAAACAATTCACATTGTAAAGAAACATCATTTCTATCTCCTCTGGAAAGTTGTGAGATTAATTACGTCAGCGTAAGCGTTAGCGTAAGCATATCCTAAGATCTAACTCACAGAAAAGATTCTTGTTTTAAATTCGTTGAATTCATTGTATTATAATCTTGGCGATACTAGAAGAGTCACGTGCATGGTTTGCATACTGAAATTTCCACAGATAACTTATTTTAAAAATCCACTTTTTACTAACCAAATGAAAATGAGAGAAAACCGCTCAATAAAGAGAACCTCTAGGAGTTGTCCATATGCTCACTACACTTTATTTATTTACGTAGACTGTACGAATGACGACGAAATTATTTATTCCTTAAAATTATACAAATATGACCTGTTTATTGAAAAGAAGTAACTTACCAAGTAAGCTGGATAATCATGACTTCATAAAATCTTATTTCTGCTTGTTACGGTTGAAGTCAAAATGCACCTCGCAGCCCCTATTTACCCACCTTTTTTAAATTTCTCAAAGTACGTAGGCTCGCCCGCTAGAGTCATGTGATAGTATCTTGGTTGTCCGTGTGACGCCGCGTCGAAGCTGTCTTGCCAAACGTTTCACATTTGTTGGGCTTCTTCAGGTCGGTATGTCATGGCATACCACGTAAATCAAGATCATGTACCCTTTTTAAAATTGTCCGAAAGTACAAAACATTTTAGAAATTACTTCGGCCATTTACTTAGAAAAGAGATTCACCAGATGAACTCATTAAGCAGAGAAACATCGTTTCGAGTCAGAAATCGAGTTGTAGGATAAAGTAGCTTCGTGCTAACTCCGCTCATCTTTCCGTATTGACGCGGAAGATCTTAGGAGCAAGTGAATGTTAAAGAAACCTTAGGAAGTAATAAATTATCTAACAATAAGATGTGGGAGTATGAATATATGTTTGTATTACTAATTAGTTCATTTTTAAACTGTTCCAAATCGATTGAATATTTTTGAGTATTCCTAAACAATTTAAAATCGTATTCGAAGAAGGAGAAATATGTGAAAAATATAGTTATGGTACTACTATTACAAGACCTTTACTCAGTCGTAATGCAGTATCGTATAGCATCTCTAAATTGTGTAATCTGTGGAAAAATAGACAGATGAAAGAGTGACGAAACGAAACGACTGTCTGGCTTGCGTATCCCGCAAGTTCCCGCCCTGCTTTTCCCAACGCCGCTGCTGCGTCGGCCCACGCCGACAGAGGCCACAACCATACGCGGTTGTGACGCAAACGCGAGAAAAGGGGGAATGTTTTGAAATTCACTTGACGACAGCTCCTATTTTGTCCATTTGCATGATGTCACTGGCGTTGGATTACAAGGGCATTCGCCATCGCGTATAGCACCAATTTTTAATTATTTTTCTTGGAAGTTAGAAACTAATTTCAAATCGAATTTTGCCTATATTTTTGAAAAAGGGGATAGTAGCGATAAATTTATTTAAACAGCGATCAAATGCCGTTTACAAATCGAAAATCGGACCATTGGTTCAGACGTTATCGGTAAATTCCCCTGTGATAGTGCTGCAATCTATTGAATTTTCCCACAAGTATTTTTCGGTGCATTTAGCCTTAAGCCTAATAATTTCGTTGGTCACCAAACCCAGAGATTTCTCTTGCCACCAGGGCTATCAAGTCGTGTCTCAATTGTATTGCAAGAAATAGCATCAAATGTTCATTAAAACTTGCCAACCAAAATATATTGAAAATACATTTCATAAAAACATTGACATTAAAATTATTGGGCATACAAATAAATTTTAAGAATGTGACTTTATTGAAATTCAACTGTCAAAATTTGAATTCAACACGGGAAACTCCAAACAGTTTTAAAAAATATGATAAAAAGAGCAAGATTTAATTATATTTTTAAATTACCATATGCAGTAAATTCTGATTAACTGTTAACCGATTAAGTGTTGAGTTTCTTCCCTCTGTGAAAAATTAAGAACATTTTTGTGACTATACGAACATTCTGGATTTTTTTTTAAACAATTATAAAAGTTTAATGTAGAAAATATTTCTCTCTATAGTAATAATTAATACAAATTTCTAAAATAAATATTTAAATAGTTGATAGTTCATGAAACTATACGGAAGGAGTCACTTCTATGCTAATAGCACAGGGGTACAAAATTCGTTACCACTTTGCATAATCGATGAAAGGGCACAGGGAAACAAATATTTCATACTTCTCATTTTAAAACAGCACTTCAATATAACAAAGTTCATGATAATATTTACTTCGAACCGTTTTCAAAAGGAAAAGGTATCGACTTGCCGTGTTTTCAAAAAAATGACATGTGTTTTTTTTAAATCCAATTTGACGATCAATTTCACAGCCAGAACCTAATTAAACCAGAATCAAATATAATTGTAAATAATGAATGTGATTAGACACATGCATCTCTACAACCACATAATACAGCCAAAATTATGGGTAATTTTTTTAGGAATCACTTAAGGGCAGAGCAGGGGTTGCACCCAACACTTTCCCGCCAAATTTGCACCAGAGAGTATATGATACACAATAATAATCATAACACAAACAGGGTTAACCAAAAAAGTTAAAAAGAATGCAAATAATGTCATTTTAAGGCTAAAGTTTATTTACAATAGAGTAATACATTAGAAAACAGCTGGACTTAAATATGGACTTTCATTGATTTACAGCTTTTACTTCAGGTAATAAAATTTGACTTAACAGATCTTCAATATTAAAATTGAAAATATAATCCAAAAAAATTTTAGAGCTGCACATTCATTGCTTTCATTGTTGTATGTATCGTGAGTAAACAGTAATCCATACTGGCAAGTAGCAGACACAGGAAGCAGATTATCAATGAGAGAATATATTACATTCTTGGTGCCGTAAATTTTATTTCCAAGCAGCCGAGCTTAATTAAAGTACAAAAAGAGAATGTGTAATAATCAAAAAGGGTGCACAAACAACGAACAGAATATGTCTTCCATACATCTTACACTCGAATACCTCCTCTTAGAGCTAAAACCAAATGAAGTACAGATCCACCCTGCACTTTATAATCCTGGGCTGTTTTTTCATCATTCCTGGAAAAACATAAAACATCAGGTAATTAAAGTTGAAAAATGCATACACATTACAGTTAAACATTAACATGTATTTCTATTTATGGTGAATTCCCCACTGCTGTTCGTATTTTCTAATGAATTTTCGAATTTGCACATCAAATGTTTTAGATGTAAGTATACAAACATTTAAATTAAGAAGCCATGACTGAATATTCATTGTGTTCATTTGTGCATGTATCCTGGATACACAATAACCCATACTGCCAACTAGTAGGTAATCAAGGAGGGAATATTACATTCTTGGTGTCACATTTAATGATAGCAAGCAGTCGAGCTTATTTGAAGTACAAAATGACAATGTATAATAATCCAGTAGGGTGCAAAACCATGAACTGAATAAGCCTTCCATCCTTCTTACACTTGAAAACCTCCTCTTAAAGCTAAAATCAAAATAATTTTTTTACGGAGTAGCAATTATTATGCTTGTTTCTTTTGTTTTGTAATAAAGGATTGCTCCTTCAATTTCTCTCTTCAGCAAAGAATTTTGTTATGAAAATATTTTAATATTGCTCATTCACTGTTACAATGGCATAACATCAAATAGCAATAGTAAGAAAATTTTAGAGCTTTCTCCTGTAATAAAGAATAATCAAACTAAAAATTTAAGTGAGAATATGAATGTTGTACCACGATTTTATACTAAATTTGAATAAGAAAATATTTGTAAAATAAACCTTTTTTTAGTATTATGTCTGTTGCAACAAATGTCACTCTCTTAAGATTTGAAAAATTATTTTGTTAATTTACTTGCCACTGTTAGTTAAATGAAAAGTTTGAACCTTTATAAACAGTTAACAATTAAGCTTACTTTCCTTCTTTGAAAGTAAAAATAATGACAAAAGAAATACATACATTTGTTTTCCAGAAAATATAAGACGTTGTTGCTGGGGAGGAATTCCTTCCTTTTCTTCAACTCTTTCCTTTATACGTTCCACTTTGTCTGTAGGTTCTATGTCAATTTCAATCTGTAAAACACAAAAATTGAAGATTGAAACAATTCATAATATGTTAAAGGAAAGATCTTTTCTACAACATTCCCACAACTGACATTTTGAACCTCATCACTGAACTACTATGTCAGTTATTTTAATTTTCTTTTCACATCCATGATATAGAAAAATTAATCTGCAAAGTCTTTTTGACACAAGCCTATATTGAAGATTCTTAAACCATGAGGAACTTTATCTTATTAATTCAAGAATAATAATCAAGATCAATATTTACAGAAAATCTACAACAAATATAAACAAATTTAAGATCATAAGACAATACTGAAGTATTGTATACTGCAATATTTTTAACAGCATAAATTGATCAAAGAAATTCTCAATTTGTGGCAAATTTTGTATTATCTTGTACATTTCAAGTCCTTTAACCATGGACCAATCTTTGCATTTAGAGTTCATTATTTCTTAAAATTATTTTGGCAGGTGGCAAGTGTGTACTTGGTAAAACAAAAGGTTAATGCCATCAAATTAGGCAAACATAATTCTTGGAACATCTTCCATTAATACTTATGCAAATGAATGGCACAACAAATTTGTGTCACTTGATCTGTAGAAGTTTGGAAAATATCAGTAATTAATTATGCAAGAGATTTGAGAATGTATATGCCATGGAGCATTGTGAAAAACATGGGACAAGAAGAGCGACTGAAAACGAAAGAGAGGAAAGCTTGAAAGAAATGGTGAAGAACAAGATCTATTTGTAAATGATCATCGAAGTCGTGGATCTTCTTTACATATGAAACTACTGAACTATGCTTTTGATAAGGGGAATCTAACAAAGTTTCATTCAATTGAAAACATGCATTACTACATACTATTTTAAGATTATTTAAAGAAATGTCCGAACAGTACAATTTTTAAGAAGTGATTTTTATATGACTTTCAAGCACAAAAAAATGTGATCACAAACAGTCATTAATAATTTAAAATTAAAACATATTAGTGAAAGTGAGAATTTTATTTTTCCTTCATTAGAATTGATACACTTTGTAGTTTTTATCCTTAGGGTCAAGAGAATTCCACAAATCAACACAAAACTAAATAATAGTAATAAAATTACTACAGGTTTCTTTTGAAACTGTCTACACGGATCAATTCGGCATTCCTTAACAACGAGCGACAACTCTAGGGCACGTTAGGTTGTTGCCCTCAAAATACAACCACTAGTCTTACTGAAAAATTACCTAAATTCTGATCCCAGGCAATTAGAAAACCACAAATAAACACCAGAAACTTCACAGAATTAATACTTACTTCCTTTCCGGTCAACGTCTAGGTTCACCACCATGAAACAGAAAGAAATGATATCAATATTTCGAAGCCAAAGATGATAACATAACCGCAAAAGATATTCTTACCTTCACTTTTATTAACATTTTGTAGTAATTAAATGTTCACTAATCACACTATCTAGAAACCAGTCCCAGAAAACAATTTAACACTAAGGAGCTTTCGCTGGTATTTCCTCAAAATTTATAATTTCTCACACCCCAAGTATGCAGAAAACTATCCGGGTCCGGCAAAGAGAAGTTACTCGAATATGACAGTTTGGTTCGATATGTCGATGAGTCGATATATTTCGAGTACAGCCGTTACTTGCATTGCCGCGAGGTTCTCGAGACGAAGAGATACGATTCATACAATAGTGGAAATACACGACGATGTAAAACGTAATATTTGGTTTCCGTCGGAATGAAACAAGCTTTAGGTAGGAATATTTTTGCCTATCGTCTCAGTGATAACACTCTCGTCATGCCGTGTCATAATCCCTCTGGCCATTAAGGAAACTGACGTGTTAAGACGTGCTACGGGATTGAACAATTTTCTGAAAAAAATGACTACGATATTTTCCAGCAAATTTATCTCATGCCACACGTTAATAAAACCCATTTATTCCTAAGTAGTCTGAATAGCAATTATTCCCCATTTTTTATATTCTGATTTGTCCATTGAAGTTCTATTTACTACATTTGTACTGGGAATCAATTGGCTCCCCAATTTAAAGAACCTCGACAACAGGCGAAATTTAATAAGAATTGTTCTATTTGTACCTTTTTTCGATTGCCCCAAAACTATTGAACCACGATTGAAATTAATATAATTTAGTTTCAGTAAAGCAATTGACATTAGAGTCAGTTGTAAAAGGTAAACAATAAAATACATTAAAAAATACCTACATTATTATATTACATTTTCTGTTTCATACATATCAGGTGAAACCAGATGTGAACTAAGGAATCTACATTAAAATCTATAACTGGCCACAAAATTAGACTAGTTACCAAAAAATAATTTAAAAAATATAACAATCATAACTTTCAACAATTGCGGTCACAAAAAATGTTTCTGCATGGCAAAGAGGCCGAAATACGTACATGAATCGACTGTACTTATCTAGGATTGTAGAATTTGTTTTCATGAAAAATAATATAGAAAATTTGAAGGGCAGTATGAAGATTGACTGAATTTCAAAGAATTCTGACCGCATATCATAATAAACTTAATTTTGTATTAAATTTATTTAAATGGACTTTCCATTTGGGGTTTGACGGAATTGAGAGACCCAAATATTTTGTTAAATTAACATACTGATCTTTCGCTTAACTCGCAACCCATGTCTGAGAGCAGTTGTTCTTGTTTTGGCAATTTCGCAACCGCGTCTTTTTGCCACCTTTCAAGTCAGCAGGCCTCGCATGTCGAGGCAGCAGAAGAGGCAACCGCCAGGTCATAAGCAGCAGCACGTTTTCTGTTACTATATTCTTCCCATTCAAGAGCTGAGGCGAATAGGTTCGCGGCCTCCCAATGCTTTACAGCGCAGTTCCGTGTAGCCGCAATGCCGCCACACTTCCCTGCTGTGTAGCCATCCCTATCCTTTCGGACATCTATGGCTGATCTGAA